CACACACACACACACACACACACACACACACACACACACACACACACACACACACACACACACACACTCGTGGAGTTGGATTTCGTCTCTATCTCTATTACTTCTAAAGACAAACCCGGTCCTCAACTGACACCCGCCATGGGCACAGCGAAAATCCTGGACGGGGCCCAGGAACCGCGTGGGACAGTGCGCTGCAGTGGAGGACCCGTTTGTTTGCTTGTTTGTTTGTTTATTTTGTCGCAAAAATCCGTGATGGGGCCCAGGAACCGCGTGGGACAGGGCGCTGCAGTGGAGGATCCGTTTGTTTGTTTGTTTGTTTTGTCATTTTGGGGTCAGCAGGTGGCGTTTGTGTTCGGCTGTTTTTTCTTTTCTCGTTGCACCAACATCTTGATTGCATGTGGACATCATCTTTGTCCAGATGCATTCAAATTCTTGGCGGATGGTGAGTAGTGCAACCAGGGCTTTTTTAGCGGTGAAGGTCCGTGGCGCTTCTCAGCACTCGTGTTTGAATACTAGTACATAGCAGCGCGTTTGGGCGTGCCGGGGTCGAATGCACAAAAGACGAAAAGTAAAAGATACGAAACTAACTGCTTTGTTCTGAGCACGTGTATCCCGTTGGGCCTTGGCTCCAGCACTCACCAAATGTGCAAAATGAGAATGAATCTACTACCAGAAAATGGACAGATGCACCGCTGTTTTTTTTTGTAGTGGTTATCCTCGTGAATGCAGGGGTTAGGGCATGCTCACACTATGATTCTCCCGCTAGAATACGGGAAACATACCGTCGTTTTTAAACCGTTTTCGGTCATCCACGTTTGGCCTTCCCTCCAGCACTCGCCAAATATGCAAAATATGAATGAGTCTCCCGTTAGAACATAGGAAGATGCACTGCTGTTGAGCTTGCCTGTTTTTTTTTTTTTTTTTTTTTTTTTTTTTTTCCGACCCAGGCTGTCATTATGTAGTTTAGCGAGCAGGTGTTTCACGCAGGCGTAGCCTCCGGGGTCCGCTTGTACTTTTTACTAAAGGCTAAAGCGGTCCTCAGCTGATTCCCCCCTCCCCCCGGGGCCCAGGAAAAAAAACAGGGAAGGCAGCACCAGAGGAGCTGGAACTGCTGTTGAGAGCTGTGGCTGTGGCGCAGCGGGGGAGATATTCAAATACAAGACGCGTGTCAGCACAGGTTAAATCTGGGTGGGGCGTGTCTTCTGGCGGGCGGCCTTTGTTTGTTGTTGTTTCCTTCTTCACCTGTCAAAATGCAGGCCGAAGCTCAGTCCATTGGAATTGTTTTCCTTCGTGGTGTTCCTGCTCGATGAAGTCGAATACAAATGCACAGCGCCCCTGTGCCGGCCCCGTTTTCTGTGTTTTTCCTTGTCTTTTTGGGTCAGGAAATACATGCCGAACGCGGAGTCCACTTTTCTATTTTTGTTTTTATCCATTAGGGTCGTCGGCAAATGCAGGCCGAAGTCTGATTGAACTTGCTGTTGCCTGGGAAGGCGCGCATGTTTGACTACAAGTACAGAGGAGGCCTGCCGGGGAAGCCTCACTCGTTCGAATACAAGTACAAAGGAGGCCTGCCCTGGCAGCAGCCCTGGCAGCAGCCCCCCCAATGTTGGAACACAAGCGCATAGGAGGATTGCCTTGATGGAAGGAAGCCCCCATGATCGATTGCATGCGCATACCGTGGATGCAACGGAGACCCACATGTTCGAATACAACGATATTGGAGTCCTTTGCCGATGGAAGGCAGGCCGGCATGTTCAAATGCAGGCACATAGGAGCCCTGCCCGATGGGAGGAGGACCCACAAGTCAGGCCACACCCACATGGTGCTTGCTGCCGGGTTGTATCAAGGGCCGAACTGCGTCTGATGTTGGCAATATGGTTCTCTGTTTTTTTTTTTTTGTTCCCATGGTCTTTGTCGCATCTGCGACGGGCGCATCCATTTGTTGGTGTATTTATAACGCTGGAAACCAGGTTCTGCGCCCCTTATATTTAATATTCTTTTCAAATGGAAATATATTTAATATTCTTTTCTTGGGGACGTGCACCCCTGGTTCGGAAATCCGGAACAATTCGGACGTTCCAATCGGAATGTTTCCGGAATCTGGAACAATCCGGACGTCCGGATGGGGACCAGACAGTCCGGATTTGTCCGGGTTTCGCTCTGGGGTAACCATGATACATTGATTAATTTGATTTCATCATTAATTAATTTTATTTCATCATTGATTGGCTTGGCTGATTGCCTTCTTCCACCCCCCCCCCCCCCCCCCCCCCCCCCCCCCCCCCCACCCCCCCAAAAATTGCTTTATTTCATCATTGATTGGTTTGGCTGATTGTCTTCTCTCTCTCCCCCTCCTCCTCCCTCTGTTGCCCCCTGTTTTGTTGTTGTTCCAGGCAAAGATCCAGCACTAGGGCATCCAGTGGAGTATATCAACCTGGACTCAGCTGAGCCTGCAGTTTGCAAGTACTGCGGCCTCAGATATGTGCAGAAAGATCACCATTGAATGGAAATTTCAAATTTGACATTTGCAATGGGCGCGCATTACACACTTCTTCACATCGCCTCCCTTGCTGTGGTTGTAGCAAGTGCTGGACTACTTCAGGGTTTTGGTTTTTCCTCCTTCTTCTTTCTTTTTTTTTTACAAAATCATGGCTCCAGTCTATTCTTGGGGAGCTGCACATGTTGGGAACCGGGCCGCTTTGATTTTCCCGCTCATCAGATTCATTATCTTACTGAAATTTCCAATTGTTTGTAGTTTATATGTGTTGGAATATCTCTTTGTTGGAAGTTTGTCCGTGTGGTCTAAAGCTTATGCCAGCTGGTGGTGAATAAACTCCGACGAAACAGTTATGTTTGTTTGCGCTTGGCACCATACTCCCATCTGGGATCACACATATCCCTCGTCCATTCTCCCCCTTTCATTCCCCATCTGCCAGCAAGTGGGAAATCATCAGATTATTGCTTCATGTTTTTTTGGGGGGGAAACCATGGGGAGTCACAAAAATGAGTTATGATTGCACTATGGGCCAAGATACAGTTTCAAATTCCAGTTTGGGCAATGTATACAATCCAGCTTTCTGACTCCACATTTCCTCAACAGGATGACCGATCCTGCTGCCTGGTAAATCTCGATCCAATAAAGAAGCAAAAGGACGTTCAAAAGAAATTCCAACAATCGCTATCATACTTTTGCTGTGTAGATTATGGGCTGTGCGTCGGAGAGAAAGGCATTTTCTCATTGGGAATTAACTGCCTCATTGGGAATTAACAGCCTCATTGGGAATTAACAGCTAACACGGTCGAGCTGACCGGCATATTCGTAAAGCACTTGGAATGTCAGACCCAGTGTGTGACTACCATCTTCCCATGAACACAACACATCCGGATTAAGAGCGTGTTGGCTACCCAGGGGGGGGGAGGGAATGCGACATCAGGGCCTCAGATTTCCTCGTTTGTTGTGCATTTGATGTATGAAAGTGACGGTCCTCCTGGAGTAAACTGCTGTCGATTCTTGTTGTCGTCAATTAGTTTTAGGTTGTCAGGAGGTTGCATGTTGTAGATAAGCGGGGCTGGCCAGCTGTGGTTAGTGACCACGTAATGTAGCAGCGGGCACTCGATAAACAATCCGACTGCCCCTAGACCGGAACTGACTGGCATGCTTGCCAACCTTGCGGCACAGTGATGGGTTTTGAGGAGAAGCTCGTCCGTGCGATTTCAAAGAATTCTTGAGGACATTGCTGGCAGTGGTTAAATTATTGGTTGGTTTGATTGGGAGTGCTTGCAACCCTTAGCATAACCGTCACCTCACGTCAGTTGTTAGTTGTAGGTCAAAGTTAATGCTTGGAAGCCAAAGTCGACGAATCTCGAGGGCGGGTCGCCTTTTTGAGTTAGGGTTGGGCAGGTCTAAGTGGTAGGAGGGTTTGGAAGGGGATCTTACCGATTAACTATTGTGAAGTCCCTCTGCCATGGATGACTTCCCGATGTACAGGTTCCTTCTATGGTGTTCACAGGTGATATTACTGTTAAACCACAAGTACATTGCCGCCGCCTTGCAGTCCGAAAAAGCTTGTCACCACAAGAAAACGAGGCCGAAATGTTAAACACTGGGCCTGCCGTTGATAAATTCGATCGGCGGCCGTGTTTTCGTTTCGTGCCTTCAGAATTAGAGGTGTCAGACCTGCAGGCCAGGTGACTATGTACTAGTGGTTTAAGGCCGCTTGGGACCCCTGGTATATTTCAAAGCGCAAAGGAGATCCCTCTACCGAGAAAGAATGATTTTGAGAGGAGAAAGGAGGAAGAGAAGAAGGATGAGAAGAGGAGGACGGAGTAACCTGGGACGTCTAGCGAAAAGAAGAAGGGAAGGCGGAAGTAGAGAAGGAGAAAAATAAAAAAGAGGAACAATAGGAAGAGGAAGAAGTGCCGGAAGACGATAAAAAATAAGAGTAGTTTGAGATGAAGAAAACCCTCGTAGTGCAAAAGAGAGAAGGATGCAGCCAAAATAGAGTACCTGGCCAGTGAGATGCTGGAACACACATCAGTTGAGACCTTGACTTATGTTCCGGAACCGCTTATGGAGAAGATACAAACGTGAGTATCCGTCTAAGCAAAATTGTGAGAAAGAATATAACCATATTCATACTCCTGACCATAATTGAAAAAGTTGAAATTCAATTCTCATTTCTAAAAAAAACAAAAGCAAATAGATACTAAAAAGATGAAGTTATCGTATAAGATCTCTTTACCGTATTTGAAAAACTTGAAATTCAATTCTAATTTCTCACATAAAAATATGCAAATAAAATCAAGCAAAGAAACAATAAAGATGAAGTTATCTTATAGGGTACTATGTAGCATGTATCACACCTCTCTATGTACTAAAAATTATGCTTGTATACGTAGTGGGAAAATGTTGTACTTGTCAAGTATCAACTAGGGATCATATATTTATAAGACTTTTCTGGATGTGTAATAATGTTATTCATTATCCATAGTTATTTTTCATTTGAGTTGGAAAATGCAATCGGACGGATGGGGCTGTGTAACATCATGTTTGCATTTGGTGGCCGAACCTGAACGTTTGCGCCGAACGTGATCGAGCACCAAAACCTTTCGAAAGCGAACGTAAAAATATTTTTTTAAGAAAATGTTGTTAGAAAAATCTTCTCAAACATATGTCTAGTAAAATTGTCATACAAACAATGTTTGTGTGCGAGGCATGTTCAAATTGTTAGCCAAACGAGAGTTGGAAAGCAAAAACTTACAAAAAAAAAAAATATTTTTAAAAAAAAAAGGGCGACGGCCGTTTAAAAATCATTGAGCTGATTGGCCCCAGGCAGTTCATTAGTAGTTGGTTTTACTCGTTAAGTTCCATCATCTGGATTCGAACACAGCACCTGGTCTGTATTTCAACAGTTCATGGGTGTACCCACTGAGCTAGGCTCTTGTTTTTCATCATTAAAAAATATATGTTCGACCAAACAAGTTCGAAGGCGTTCGGCAAAACACCCAAATTTGTTCGGACGTTCGCGAAAGCTCCGAACACGTTCGGTGTGCTACAAAGTGTATGGGGTAATGCAAGTGTTAAAGGAATCTCTCATATTACAAAAGGTGATTTTGCTCCGAGTGCTATTACTATCAATGGACAGTTGAGCTGTTTTTTATAGGCCTGAGCCCCTCTAGAATTAGAGCGATTGGTGGGCAAGGTCAGGGAAGATCAGAAGAAGGCTCAAGAGGAGTAGTTACATACCGTAGTTTAGGCGAAGGCGGAGTCAAATAACTTGCATAAGGATATGGAGCAAAAGTAGATTAAGGAAGAGGCACAGGGGATAGTTGTTGCAATGTTGAGAGCATAAGGTGATGATTGTTTCACAATATTAGGGAGCTACACAATGGGAGCACGAGGTTAATTAGCATTTAGAGACCAAGTGCAAAGGGTTGCTTGTCGCACACAATTGAAGAAAAAGTGAGAAAACAAAGCTGAGAACATGAAGGGGAAAATGGATGAAACAGTCAGGTGAAAAAAGGAAGAAGGGGTGGAGGTGGTGGTGATGGAGATGATGATGGTCATGACAATGAACGGGGAGATAAGAGAGGTCTGGATCAACGAGATAGTGATTGAGAGAGATATCATGACGATTGTTAAAGGCTTCCCTACCCTACTAGCAGTGGGTTAGGATGTGGTTACCTGACCCGTTCGCCAACGAGCAAGGCCATGGTTTGGCCACATGTGTGTTGCAGAGATCACATCTTCCAGAATGAAGAACGAGTGCACCCTAGAGGCAAGATAGTGATTTGAACCACGACACTGAAGGCGGATGCCGAGGTGGCGCTGATGAGCAAGTGCACGCCATTGGTTTTGGAGACATGCTAGATGCGTGGTGTGAGACCCCAAAGTGTGGACCACTTCTTTGTGATACCCCAAGTGTGGATCGCTTCTTTGTGAGACCCCAAGTGTGGACCACTTCTTTGTGAGACCCCAAAGTGTGGACCACTTGTTTGTGAGACCCCAAAGTGTGGACCACTTCTTGGCCAAATTAGTTGAGCAGTTTAGAGCTAAAAAAAGAAGGAACCATCGCTGGATATACGCTTATGAACATGGATAGAACCCATTGGTGAAGTGTAAAAACGCGGTACTTAGAATTTAGAAAGATCGACAAATTGCTTAAGGTTGTGGATCACGTGTGACAAAAGACAAAACCTTACGACCATAAGTTGTCCTTGGCCGAATCGATCCCGAACATCCGTGTCCGGGGCCTTCAAGTAAAAGGAAATATTTTCATGAAGCACGCTTACAAAGGCAGACAGATTGCCACCCTATAATAAACCTTCCAGCCTACTCTGAATTAAAGAAGGGAGGAACATGGAAGGGGAAAAAAAGGTTATTAAGAACATGGCCATAGGGGACCATGTTTTAGTGATTTGCGAGGGCGCGGAAGGTGAAGGACCCTATGACCAGATGAAAATGGACGAGTATTATGAAAGCGAGTGCCGGGGAGGGGAGTACGCCACTGTCGCAGCCTCAAAGGGAGGGCCATCGTAGATCTCCTAATTATTTCCTCGACTTTTTCCCTCCTTCGGAACTCGCCCTAGTTGATAAACTTGATATGCAATGGTATGGCTTAGAGGAGGGGTAAGATCTTAAAAAAAAAAAAAAAAAAAAAAAAAAAAAAAAAAAAAAAAAAAAAGGTCTTACAAATTTTTGATGGGTAGGGAGCTTGGTTGGCAAGTGGAATCTGGCGGTCCTTCTGGGACTGCAAAGGCTTTCCTATCTTTTTGAAAGATTTCATATAACCATTGCAATGTACTTCAGGGGACGCTGGACCCGTTTTCCAGCAGGTGCAGCTCCCCACCAATAGAAAGAAGCCATGTGGGAGGGATGGTGCGTGGGGCTGCTCGTATCATCTTAGGTGAAAAAAAATAATAGCGGGAGCACGTCCTGCCGACAACAAGAGGGTGGTTCGCAACAACAACAAGGAGGAGGTTATAAAGCCCCCCATAGATATCCCCCACACCCGCGACTGAAGAAGGGTGAACCCCGATTTTTTTTTTTTTTGTTTTGTTTTTTTGTTTTTGTTTTTGTTTGAGAGTCAATGGCGGCAGAGGAGATATAACAGCCAATGTTTCAAGTGCGGGAAAGAGGGTCACATTATCCCCTATTGTCCCATGTGGTAGCAATCGCAACATCAGGTGATAAAAGAGGGGAGTCGGTAGAAACTTCAATCATATTTCTACAAGGGCTGCAAGTGTAAGTTGTGCAGACATAGAGGAGTCATTCCCTTCCCATCCGCAGAGCATGCGGGCAGAGGTCGACTCAACCACCCACTCTATGCCTCAAGAAGAGATCACTTGTTGTATGGTCCCTCTTAATAGTTCTCTTACAGCCAGCCACAAGTGAGGAACCGATCACTCTTTGCAAGTCCCAGAGACTGAGACGAAAAGGGAGACAAGTCCTTTGATGGTTGCAGATGAGAAGTTAGTGACACGGGCGTAAAATCATTGATAGATAGGAGTTCTACTAGTAGGAGATGTTCTACTAGTAGGAGATGTGTATTGCATAAGTATTTTTTTATTTTTATTTTTTTAACTCCCTTCCAGTGCTAGTGGTGCTGGTAAGAGCAGACACCACTAGCACCTGAGGAGAGGCTCCATCTATTGG